AGTGGCAATGCCCACTTTGCTCATCCTGCATCAGACTTCGAGGGTCCTGATGGGGTTCTCCTATTCCCTAACCTCCAGATCACCTGCTCTATTTCTCACCAGGTGGAGGCCAAGAAAGATGAAAATTGGCATGGTACCGGTGAGTGGAGTACAGGGCGCAGTAGAAGATACAAACTGGAAAGACCTACAAGAGTTGCTGTTCTGCAGAGGAAGTAGAGGCCCTCATTACACCCAAAATAGGAGAGAGTTTACAAATACAGAAGCGAGGCACATTGTCTGTCAATATGTAGGCTAATTGGTTCTTATCCCTTTCTGCTCCTCCCTGTGCTTTATCCATCCAGTTCTTTTGGCTCGCTCTCTCCTCCTAATTTCCCAGGCTGCTCGTTCCTAATCCTTTTTATATTTTACCTACCTTTATTGAGTCTACTGCCCTTTATTGAATCCACCACTGGATGGATGTCCTGCCTGTTCGCTTTTCCACTCCTGCACTTTCTCAATCTCCTCCTGTTTCCTTCTCTCCCGCTTTCCTTTTTTCTCGCTCCCTCCCATCTCTTCCTGCATCGCTTATTCCTGTGAATTATCCAATCAGTTTCCTCACACCCTATAATATCTTTTCCCTTAATTTATCTCCATCATCCTCAGATTATTTCTCTGCACTCTATGCTTTACACGTCCTTTCACTTCTTTCACATCTCTTGCGGTAATGGGATTTTTACTCATCTTTTTCTGTTTAGCAGCTTTGCCTTTCCTCATACGACAATGAGTTTTTTGACTTAGAGCAGGTTGATCTTAGCCCTGCTGAAAGCAGTTAGTCATTGAATGTGGTTGCCATTTTAAAGAAGGTGAGATCTCAAGCTTGGTAACCAGCAGTCCTGAGACAGGGGAAAGCTTTCAGAAACACTCAGGGTCTGGGAATGCGTGATAGAGTTGTTCTTAATTTGCACATTGTCCTTGTCAACAGAGTCCTTTAAAGCCAAGATGTGTTAGCACGAACTGGTCTGATAATAGTATGTTGTTCCAAAATAAAGTGACTTTATTATGTGCATAAAGAGTGTTATTAGAATCAGGGGGACTCCTCCAAGCAAGTAATTAGATTGACAGTGATTTTACTCAAGGTCAGTGCTAGCCAGAGAAAGAGAAGTCATTACATATGATGTGAGCACTTTAAAGTACGTGGGTACCACTCTAACTCCTGCCTTCACTGATGGCTGGCCGGCTTTCTGGCCCTCTCTTCTTTCCATTTGCATCTCAGTGACAGACACACGGATGTCAGATGAGATTGTACACAACCTGGATGGCTGCGAAATCTCATTGGTAGGAGATGACCTGGACCCAGAGAGGGAGTATCTGCTCCTGGATGGGGCACTGCTGCAGCAGCGGGGCCTGGAGCTTGTTAACACCTCTGCCTACCTGACCATCACAGGTATGTCCTCTCCTTGGCCACAGCTCTCTAATTACACCTCTCTCACTGCCTGTCAGGCATCTCTGGGAGAAGCATTTAATCCGCGGTTAGAGATGTGTAGGTGTACTTTGTGAGACTCTGAGATGTAACCATTTTGTTGAACTCCTGGCTTTTGGAAGTCCCAGGCCATTTCCTTGGGGAGGTGGCTGTGTCCTCCAGCACACACAGTACTTAGGGAATAGTGTCTGAGCTGTCACCCAAGCTTGTATCACTCCTGCTGATTGACTCCTTGGGGTTTGGTGTTCTCGGGTGCCAGCAGCATATTGCGTGACGTGACTGGGGGACTGCACATCTCCCAGGTTGCGAAACGGTACACTGTTGTACTCTCCAGAGCTTAACAGGGCTGTTCCTCTTGATTGTTCCTTCCCTGCCACTTGTTTTAGCGATGCAAGCAGGGATTCCGTCAGGCCCTATGAAGCCAGCTCCACCTCTGCTCCCTTCCTAAAATTAATGAACCCAGCATTGCCTTGGATTCCTCTGTAGCTCCTCATTGCTACAGGGTTATGATGCCAGATGACTTTGAAGCAGGAGCTTCTTCACCCCACACCAATTCTCTCTTCTTGTCTCAGGTGTGGAGAGCATTGCAGTTTACGAGGAAATACTACGCCAGGTCTCATACCACATCAACCATGGCGCTGCTCTCTATGAAAGGAAGTTTCACCTGTCCTGCACGGAGATGAACGGACGCTATTCCAGCAATGAGTTTACTGTTGAGGTACAAGATCAGTAGATGCACATATAGGTGCTCGTGCATGCGTGGCGAGGACGTGGTGCACAGGAATGCACGCAGTGTAGAATGTACCACAAACACAGGGCTGAGGCTCTCTGCCTCTGTTTTTTCTGCAGGTGAATGTCCTCCACAACATGAACCAAGCTGCTCATCCTAACCACATTCTGAGTTCCCAGCAGTTCATGCACCGAGGCCATCATTTACCCCCAGAGCTGTCTGGGCACAGTTTGGCAAGCACCCATAACAACCCAAGTATGTAACACTACCCTTTGGGTTTATTCCTTTAGGTCAGGATGTTGATTTTTTTTTTTTTTGATATCCTGGTAGAATCTAGAGAAGAAGATTGCTTTCCGGTTCCCTATACCCATGTTATCAAGTTCTCACTATACTGTCCTGTCCCACTCATCATTAACAATGGACTGCAGTCTGTGTCAAATAGTGTTTCAGAGCTTGGTTGAATAATCCTCCTCTTCTAGTGTGTTGTTTTCTTGATGTAGAAGCAGCCTGAAATCTACATCTGATTTAAAAGAACTGCTGTAAGCTGGTACAGTTTCATTTGTACACCTTGCAAAGGTGCTATGCAGGCTTGGGTACTGTAATTTCAGAAAGAAACTTCAGCAGCAGGAGAGAAACAAGAGAATCAAGACTGCCATTGCTCCCAAAAAAAAAAAAAAAAAAAAAAAAAAGATGGGATTAGGTGGTGGTCAGCAAGGCCAAAAAATACAGGAGTTGGCACCACACAGACAAGAGGAAGATTCTTGCCCCCAAAACAGAGGAGAGAGAAGTCTGAAAGCTAGACTAGAGATGAGCTTTGTTGGTTTGTGCTGGCAGCCACAAGCATGACTGCGTTCCTGCTGGCTCCTCCTAGGCTGTGAAAGATCTCGGATTTATGGAGGACCCTGCGTTGGTTTTGGCCCACTGTTGTAGGGAACATAGAAAACACCTTTGCTGCTAGCTTTTGCTGCAGCTTCCTGCAGCAGCTGATCCCAAGCTGGTCCGGTCCTACAGCCGGCACTGAGCCACTGCAGGGACAGCCTAGGTGTGTGCTGGGAGAGCACCAAAAATGAGCCTTTGCCACTTCCTCCCCCAGCTCTGCCTGATCGCAGCAGCAAAGTTGTCCCTGCTGCACAGAACCATCCAGAACAAATCCATGGAGGGCCTGGATAGATATTGCAGGGAAGGGGATTATCTGAGGAGTCGAGGATCAGTTTACAGGCTTAGAACAAAGGGGTGGGAGTTGGGCTAAGGGTCTTTGAATTTCAAATTTTATCCTGTGGGGAAGCCAGGCTTTGACTGTGGCACTAATTAGAAGGCCATCATAGCCCTCACCTCCGCCTCGTGTGCAAAGCAGAATTATTTTGGCTTCTTTATTTCCCTACCACTTGCAGAGAAATCACACCCTCAGAAAATCACCCTCGTGTCCTTAGAGGCTCTCCCCAGCCTACATTTCTCCCTCCCAAGAGGAGGATACAAATGGCTGCTGTGCAATAGATCTTGGTGATTTCTGTAAAGATGTGCAGAGTCCACAGGCAAGGCCGACATCAGAGGATGCCTGGAGTGAGGCATCCTGGAAGACCATACCGGCCTCAAGTGAAGATGCAGCAGCTGAACTGCCTGTGCCCAGGGGAGCAGAAAATTCAGGATATGTTCCTGCCCAGGAACCTCAGTTCCTGCAGGTCGGGTTGGAAACACGTATTTCTGTGACCGGATCTAACCGTGCTTTCTCATTTTCTTTCTCCAAAGTGGTTCCCAGTGCTGCCACTGTCATCATTGTGGTGTGTGTGGGCTTCCTGGCACTCATGGTGATCCTTGGCATCCTGCGCATCCACTCCCTGCACTGGCGGGGAGTGGGGCAAGAGGTCCCCGGGGCTGCTGAAGTGGGGCACGGAGGCACCAGAGGCAAAGAGAGCGACATGTTTTGGGATGACTCGGCCCTCACCATCATAGTCAACCCCATGGAGGTGAGGAGCAGTGACAGGGGCTGGGGCTGGGCAGGGCAGCTGGGTTGGCAGATCCTTGCCCTTTACCCCGTGTCTCACCTTCCCAGTCCTACCAGAGCTGCCAGGAGAGGGCAGCAGAAGGTGGCGAGGGCAGAGCTCGTGAGGGCATGGGAGACGAAGACGACAGCACCGACTCGGAGACACCTGACTCCCGGGACAGCAATGACATGGATGATGGACACATCATGGGCAAAAGCAGCGTATCTTACCTCTACTAGTACACCACCAGTCCAATGGATCCTCCCAAAACATATGGCTAGGAGGAGGAGGGGTCTGACTTCTAACTTCTTCCTTTCCCCGCTGTGTACACATGTACTCCTTCCTCATTTGTCATTTCTGCCTCCCATGTTCCCTCATCTGCCATTCTCATTGTGGACATCCCCCACGTTACTGACCTCCCATCTGGCTCTCCAGAAACATGTGTTAGGGCACTTGCACATGACGGTGGCACAGTTCCAACTATGATGAGGAAGGAGGGGCTTGGAAAGAACAGGAATTTGGAAGGAGGGAGCCAGCCATAGGGCTTAGAGTAGGGTCTTTCACAACCCCTCCCCAGATATTATATATATATATATTGTATATTTTTTCAATGTTGTTGTTTGAAGTTTATTCTTGTTTCATGCAAAAAACCCCACTGCAGCTTGTGTCGCTTTGTAAAATTGTCGATACTCCCAAACTAATTGAATGAAGGTAAGAAGGATGAAGAAACAAAGTGGATTTTAAAATAAATGGATTTCAAATAAAATGTTCGGGGCTTCTGCGGTTTTTCACTACAAGCAGGGAAAGAAACAGTCAATGTAGCCTCTAATGTGACACTGGAGATTGTCCAGAGCATGTATTTACTGAAATTACTGCCTTATCTCAGGGAAGGGTTACATTATTTAGTCTGTGTGTTGGAACAAGAAAAACAAATCACCCCTGACCCTACGCCTGACTTTTGGAGAGTCAAAATACCCTTTGTAAGCACAATGTAGCCTTCCCCATGACAGGGCGCTAGGAACCCACAGAGGAACAAAAGGCATCCCAGGCAAGTGTAACACATGCAGCAAACTGAATTGACTACAGAAAAAAAAGAATATATAAAAAAAAAAAAAAATAGCAGTGTGCTAAGGACCTGAAGGAAGATTCTGCAACAGGACATTTGCTGGCAGCCAAGGGTGAGAAATCCTCCTCATGGGCAGGAAGGTGGCACGGTAGGTGAGAGTGGAAGCCCCCACTCTGAGGGTATGGAACATCTCAGCACAAGATCTTTGCTTGCTGCAGTTCTCTCAGATGTCTCAGCTCTAGCCTGTCTTCATGTCCAGCTGCGCCCACATATGGTCGTTACTGGGTCCAAAAGTAATGAATCTCCTGAGGCTAAGATACGCTCTTATGCTTTCTTGTCTCCTTCCCAGCAAGTTCTATATCCTTGTTTCTTACAGGGAGCTTAGAGCAGGCACTGTCAAACTAGTGCCCTGACATCCTTGAAGCACCGGAATAATTCAAGTCTCCAGAAAGCCTACATGGTGCACATGGGAGCTAAAAACTTTGCACAAAATAGTCTTTGTGTCCTGAGAATGCTGTGCCTGACCCAGTTCTGACATGTGATGAAAAGGGCCGCCTCCCAGAGCATGGAAAAAGACCAAGTCTCAGGACCATGAGGTCCCGCCTCAGCCAGGTGCTACAGTGTGCTTACAAGGTGGAAGAGGCCAAATGGACGATGAATTCATAGGTAGCCATCATGATAGCTGTGTTTGGGATCTGGCGGATCAAATGAGCCAGGAGCCCTCGGTATAAAGCCAAGGGTCCCTCTTCATGGACCACAAGCTGCAGAGTCTGTATAAAGGAACAGTATCGTGACCCTTCTTCTCGCAAACGTGTCCGAATGACCTCTGGAGAGACAAAAAGGGAAGCAGTATTAGCAGATCGATCCTACAGGCGTGGCATCTCTCATCGAGGAGAGCAGAAGCAAGGAGAGTGGATCCACTCACCATGTGGATATGCAATGCATGAAGCACATGTTTTGGAGACAGCAGCAGCTCCCATTAGTCCAAAAAAATCATGGCTGTTTGGTGAAAGTGTGAGTGATGGGGAAAGGGAATGATGGCTGTTTCTCAGCTGCTGTTTCAGTGCTTCATAGATGACAAAGTGTATGATGGTCTCTGACACTCCAGCATAGGAGGCAGTGATACCACGGTAAAATCCACGAAGGCCTTCAGAGCGGTACACGTGCATGGCACACTGGAGAGCACTGCTGGCCATCTCCCCCTTCGCCCTGTGAGAAGGAGGAAGGGTTAGAACAGCATACTGCTCTACTGACCTAAAATGCTGTTGTGAACACAACTATATGACTCTTCCTCAGCATGCCTTGGAGACCTACGTTCTGACACGGACTCCTATCCAAACCAGTTCTGGTTTGACACAGAGTGGCTCTGCACTGCTAGCCTGCCTTACCTGGCTTCCAGCTGCATCCTGGTTTTCACTAACCACACAGGGTTGGTGAGCGTGGCAGAGGTAATGCCTGGAGAACAGAAGAGGAAGACAGCCATGAGCACCAGGATCACGCCGACAGTTTGTGAGGAGGTGCTGATCTATCAGCTCTCTGAATTCCGCTTGGCAAGCTGTAGGTATTTGCAGTTTGAGACTATCTGGTGGTAATTAGCTCCTCTGCCTCCAACATAACCCTACTGCAGGCTCTGGTGTTACAAAGAGGCAGAAATCAACGAGCTAAACTTGCAAGAGTGGAAGATTTTGTTAGAGAACCGGGATATATCAAAAGAAATGATTCTATGAATGGTCTACGTGACACACTGCCTTCTCCCTCTCGCAGCTGAATGGAGCTCTTTTCCTGATAGCAGCTGACAGGGTAAAGACTAGATCCATGACTTGAACAGGTAAGCCTAAGAAGAATGAAGAGTGATAAAACATTTTGGTTACCCAAGGAACACACTGTTCCAGGTGTGGAGAGAGAAACTTCAGAGGAGAGAGCAGGACTGATGGAAGCAGCAATGGGGAAGGAATGAAACGCGTTTACACTTACAGACAGAAGGACCCCATGGCTCTGATTTGAGACAGAAGAGGCTCACCTGCACAGGCTGCTGATAGCACATGTACTTTCTTGGACTCTGGTACAAGGACAGCATTGAACCTCTCCTTAACACCAGAATAGGCAGCAAAATATATAGCCCTGTTTGGAAAGAAATGCAGAAGTTACAGGTCACTTACGAAGAGCAGAGACAACACTGCTGTGGGGTCTCACTCCAACTTCTCTTACTGCCAGCACGGGTTTGTCTCCTGTGACATCAGATACCATTTACAATAGGCCCACAGCAATCATCTTATCTTACAACTATGATCAGAAGGTCCAGAAAATGCCTGTGTGAAAGGGTCCTGTGGCACAATAAGCACAAGGTGTAGGCTGCTCTTAGAATGTGAAGCAATAGTTGTCACAGAGGTCCTTTAAAAAGTGTACAGCATGAGCTCTCCTCTGGGGGCAGTACTCACCTGGAAGGAGCAACCCCAACCAGGTTTGGACCCAGACCTCGGAACAGGGATCGAATGCCTTCCTTCTCAAGGATGGCCCTACAGAAGGAAATTAACATAGAAATCAGCAAAATAACTAAGCTGGGGCCTCCCCTGTTCCTCCTCCTTCTTTGCTCTTCAGTACTTCTTGTAGCATCCCCTCCTCACTCTCCGTGTTACCCTTTTTCTGCCCTACTCTCGTTTGCTCTCCAACCACTTCTCCTTTCCCCTTCAGTCATTTTTTCCTATTCTTGCTGACACTATCACTCTGGGTCTGATCAAACCACTAGCTGAGAAATTTCTCACAGTCCCAAAAGCTGCCTTGCAGACTCAGAGTTCAAAGCACAGATCAACCATGAGACACAGATGTACCTGTACTCTGATGAAATTTCCAACTGCACTTGTAGTTTCCAGAGCCTCAGCTTCCATCTCTCACTCTCCCCACTCCTCTCCACCCGATGGCCAAACCTTCACCTCCCTCATGCTAACATGCACACTGCCCTGTCCTACTCACCTCAGCAACTTGAGCACTCCAGGAGACGGTGGGGTGGCGTTCATCAGCCTCACACTCACCCCTGGCAGCTGTATTTCTGAGAGGCACAGAGGCCGCAGTGTCAGTTGGGATGACTGTAGACGTGTCTTCACCACTTCCAGAGGACAGGTCAGGATGGCTCCAGCTGTGCCACCACATCTAGGGCATGATAAGAGTGTAACAGCACATGTAACAATGACCCCTGTGCAGGAACAGGGCAATAATTCTGACCCTGATTGTCCACAACCTTTCCCCTCTAGGAGAGGAGGTCAGATCCCCCAGCCTGCGTCACACATGACCTCCTGCTCTGACACTGATTAACGTAATAACGGCTTAGCTTGGGACACCTCCTGGCTGCCTCACTCAGTATTTGAGACAAACAGTCCCAAGCCCATAGGGACTCAGGAACCCCTCAGCTCAAAGCTGCTGATCTTTGCATTCAGAATTTCCGAGAGCAAACATTTCTGCTACCCAACCTTGCTGAAACGCCTTCTGCTGACATCACCAGGTACCGTGCCTCACGCCTCCCTACAGCAGCATTGGCTCACAGAGGGGCAACACAAAATTTTTCCACCCCCTCAGCCTGTCTACGTCTTTAACCGTAACCCATTCAGCCCCACATTTGCAAAGCCCTGTGAGCAAGATATGGATTTTCTGCCAACAGCCAGGCTCACCAACAGCCTAACTTGCTTAATGAAAGAGGGCCCTGACCTTCAGCAGACAGAAGCTATTTTTGGAACTCAGGAACCACCACCAGCAGTCAGACTAGTCACACCTCAGTAACGCTGAAAGGACATATATTCCCTTTTTCTCTTTCTACTGCCCAAGGACAAGTCAACCAATATGTTTGGTTCTCAGCTTCTGCCCCTTCAGATCCTTCAACTGACAACTCTGCTCTTCCAGAGGATGCTCAGTACCTGAAAGACTGTTTTGAGATGAATTTGCACAGAATAGCCATGCGAGAGGCTTTGATGAACAGACAGTTGTTCATATCTGCTACAGTTTCACAAAAAAAAAAAAAAAGCTCACTCTGCCCCAAAGAAAGAAAAGCCAACCAAAGAAGTACAAAATATCAGGGAAGAATTACATATGATGGTACAGGACAGCAAATGGCTTGAGATCTGAAGAATTATTTTGAAAAAGTCTATACAGCTCAGCACATACATACACTGCTCTCACAGCCTTTGCTCCTAGGGCTTTATTTATTATTGCTTGCAGGACAAGGGGTAAATAAATAAATAAACAAGCGAAAAAACAAACCCCAAAAACCAAGAGGCCTGGATGACTGTTGCAATGAAGTCCAAGAACTGAAGATCTGGAAGCTAATGATGCCAGCAACTAGCAACTAGTTATGCTTACTCCATTACACTCATGCTGATTTGTCAAGTCATTTGCAGATCTACACAGTGGTAATGACTTGCAGAGCAGCTGATCAGCAGCAATTTACCTCAGGAGATATGATGAGTGGTAGGAGTCTGGGATTAGGTAGAACATGACCAAAGAAATGAGCTCAGGCTTAGAGGACTACACAAAGCAAAGCAGTAAACGTCCTGGCTCAGGTTCTCTGGATGAACAAAATGATCAAGGATGGACAAGAAGACAGCCTACACAGCAATCCAGGAGTCATGTGAGGCAAGGCCTCCTTTTGCAAAAGCCATGTTGATTCTTCCCATGTAAACTATATTCATTCCTGGGTCCAACAGTCCTGTTCTTTACCATAGTGTCTACTAATTTGACTAATACAGGTTTCAGACTTACAGACCTGTTGTTTACTTGACCAGAAGTGCAGTTTCCAGTTCAGGAGAAGATTGAGTACAGTAGTGACAGGTCAAGATGTCTAAGAAGCCTGAATAGAGCAGTTTCAACTTCCTATCTAAAAGCTGAGCTACAACAGGACAACATTTAGAGAAGAAATTGCTTGGTATCCTAAAGACTTTTCTACTAGTGCATAAAGAGGCACAGCTTTATGTAATATTTTCATAATAGCTCATTTCTTCAAGAAGTCACTACCTCAGTATGATCAGGATATGAATTTGAACCTACACATCCAGTATATGGAAAAGTTTCCTGAGTTCAAGTTCCTCAAGCTACTGATTGTACAGAAATGTCCTGGGTTGAGTGAGTGGTGGAGTTTTTTGGTGGCAGGGGAGGGGGCTATCGGGGTGGCCCCCTGTGAGAAGCTTCTCGAAGCTCCCCCAGCTCCAAGCCAGCTCCACCTCTGTTTGGGAAATTGAGCCCATCAGTTGTGCCTCTGCGATAACATATTTAAGAAGGGACGTGGTGACGGGCAGTGGGACTTGTGAGGAGGAGTTGGGGCAGCTGCGTGAACACCAAGGTCAGTGGAGGAACGGAGGAAGAAAGGAGGGGGGAGGTGTGCCGGAGCAGAGACCCCCCTGTATCCTGTGGGGAGATGGCAGGGCGGCCCCCCCTGCCACCCATGGAGATCTACGGTGGAGCAGACACTGATTTATGGCCTGTGGTTCCTGCAGAGAGAAGAATTTTAAAAGCAATAAGAGTTAAAGAAATTATTGCTCCTTAGCATGGTGGTCATTTAATCAGCAGTAAGAGAGTCAGAGGTAAAGGGGGACCTCTGAGCCACTACTGCTCAATGACGAGACTAAGGAGGGTTTTTCAGGGAGCAAAGAACAGTGACCAAACAAAGCTAAGGAAATAAGCTGTACTGGTTGTTCAAAACTAAAAGAAATCTTAACTATGATGTCTTATCACGTACTACATGATACAGCTGCTCAAAATGTATGAAAGGCATAGGTCTCCAAAATTCTGTTTCAGGAGAAATGGAAAATTATGTATTCTCATCACAAAGAGATGAACTATTTTTCAGTCCAATAGTAATGAAGTCAAAATTGAACAAAATCTAGTTGGAACAAACATTTTAAAATCAGCAGGCACAAAAAACCCATGGCCATAGATATTATAAATAGATGACTGAGGAGACTTCATATCTACAGGTTTAAAAGCTTAAGAAATGTTAGTGGACTGGGGAAATACACTAGCCTAGAAGAATTCTAAAGTTTACCAGGACTAAAAAAAAAACCAAAGGTAATAATTTATGCTGCTAAAGTTATACGGTTATATGACCTGAGATTAATTCCAGAAGATAATTATAGAATCAGATCACTACAGACTTAACACTTTGTTCTAATCAGTGCTGGGAGGGGTGGGGGGAGGCTATATTGGTGGTTTTTATGGAACTTATTGAACAAAAGCTGGATTCAGAAAAGTAGCTATAAAGATGTAATATACTTCAGTTTCACAAGAAGTGAGCTTGATATCTCACAGAAACACACTTAGAGCCTTAGCACTCTGTCTACAGCATATATGCTAAATGGACTAAAATCAGACTACAAAATCTTAGAAAGAAGAAAAAAATTATCAGTGCCACTCTTTCCCTGCCCTGAAACCAGCTGTCAGTAAAGAATCAAACAGCAAGATCAGTCAACAGTGGTCCAGCAAGAGTTCTAGGAAAATCACTCCTAGACTAGACATAACAATTCAGTGTTTCCAACAGATAGGAGGGTAACATTTTACTCTTGATAAAATCCATGGGTGACAAAGATTGTCACAGTACTGAGCAAAGCTGCAATGACTGGCAAATAATGAAAAAACACATGGAACTGAGCAGTCACCAATGGTCCTTATGCTGAGCTTAAAAAGACAGGTTTAACAAACCCAAGCCCCTGAAGTCATTACCCTAAAAGAAGGAACAAAAACAATTCCTGCAAAATACGATGAAGAGCGGCAGCTGACAACCAATACAACATGGTATTCCCAGAGCAAAGTGGCAAAAAGAGATAATTGAAAAGGGCAGGTAATCTCACATTACAAAACAGTACTTGTCTCTAGATCTTGTGTTCACATTTTAAAAGGAAAACTGGAAAACTTTGAGGTGGTAGAAGAAGAGGATTATTTGAAAGAAATACAAAAACTGTAAGGCTATCAGGACATGCACAGATGTGAGAAGGTTTACTGATAATTCACATTTTAGCCCTTACTCAGGCTAGCCAAAAACTGAGACGGGCCGAAGATCTTCATTTAAGAATAGCAATGCTAGGTCAGACAAATCTGCAGTTAAACCAGGATTCTGCTTAGGACACAGGTGAATAGAGATCACCTACAGAAGGAGAAATGCTCATCTCCAGAACACTCCCGGCTTTTTGCAATTTTCAGCTGAGGGATTTCCTCAGCCAGAAATGTTGCATTGCATTTAACAGCCTTCACACATTCTCTTTTGTTAATCAATGAATCAATCAGTAATTAATGCTTTCTGGACACATCAAAAGTTTTTATCCTTCTAATGTCCTGTGGCCAGGAGTCCCACAGTTTAACTGCATGCTGTGTTAAGAGCTATGTTGTTGCACTAGTTTTCAACTAACCTCTCACAAGTTTCATTTGATGGTCTCCAGTTCTCATACTAGAAGATAAAGTGAGCAACTGTTCCTTCATCAATGAGATCTGTTTCATTAGGTAAAACAATAATATTAACTGTATACTGCAGCAATAACCTAAATTTCTTATTCACCTCTTGGGTTTTAATCAATTGTAATTCAAGGATTATTGCTTAATGGTCGTAGACAGGATACAGACTGACAAAGTTCCCACCAGCGATGCTTCTGTCACTAGCCAAACTCAGTTTTTCAGGAACCGAAGCGGAAAATGAGGATGAGGAAAAGCTTAAGAAAGCTAAGAAATATGAAAAAAATTATATTAAGAAAGGCTAAGATGCAGTGACTATATAGTTCAAATGATAAATTAATAAAAGAGAGTAACAGATACAAAGTAACACTGGGAACAGGGAGAGCAAGTACATATAAGCAAAGATTGACACAGCACAACTGCGTTAACTGCACAAAACTGGAAAGTTACTAATTAAGAGCAATTAAATTATGTACTTTATAGCACATGCTATACCGCAGACCTCACTGTCACATGGACTCCAACAGGTTGGTGGAATTTGGAAAGGGATTGGGTGGCTGTCCAGGCAAGGGAGTTCTGCAGTTACTCAGAGAAGTCCGAAGGACCACAACATCTTTTGCTTTAGGACATCATGAACTTATTGTTTAGAGACTTAAACGATAAATGTTTCTTAAAGAGAGGCAGCATGGCGAAATGCCGCACGAGAAGCGACACTGTGAATTCAGCAGCAACGCTGGGATCCGTGCTCCAAATACCTGACTCACCAGAATCAGTCGAATTATTTAAAGCTAGCCAAGGCATGCAGGAATTTCAGCCACGCAACGATGGAGGGTTGGCCGCCCTCCCAAAACCAAGGATGCCGCACCATTTGCTTCACCGAAGAGGCCTCACAGCACCTCCCATTCCCCCATTCAGCCCCCCACCAACCTCGTACCCCTCACCCCCGGTAAACTCAGGCTGGATGAAACGCCAGGTGAAGGGACCGTGACTCACAGGGAGGCCCCCCCCTTCTTCCCAAACTGCAGATCCATACATTCATCCCAGCGCTAAGCAGCTGCGCCATACCACCGCACCTACATTTTAACCTGACACAGCAAAGGGCGGGTCAGGGTTATGGGGCGCGGGCAGTGTCTGGTGTGGGGCAAGGCACGGTCCCCTCTCCCCCGGAGAGCGGTGGTGCGGCCACCGCCGCAGGCCGCGTTCCTCAGGGGCGGGCAGGCCACGGGGAGGCCGCGACAAGGCCGAGCCGGGCCAGCGGCGGGAGGGAGACCCCCGCCTGGCAGCAGGCGGGAGCAGAAGACGGGCACGGAGCTCCCTGGGGAGAAGGCGCCGTAGCCGCGGGGCCCGGCTGACCCGGGCGAGGAGGACGGGCGGCAGGCCCGGCGAGGCCCCGCGCCCAGGGCAGCCCCGGGCCCTCCCTGCGGCCGCGTGTCCCCGGCCAGAGGCTGGCGGGCCCCCGCCGCCCCGCGCGGGGCCACTCACCCTCCGGCGAACAAGTGGAGCAAAGTGCTGCGCTGCGACATGACCGGCGCTCCCGCGGCACTACCCGTGCCCTGAGCCGCGATCCGCCGCCCGGCCCGCCCCGCCGCCCCGCGCATTGGCTCCCGGCCGGCCCGGAGGAGGCGCTCGGGCGGCCGCGGGGCCGGGCCCGCCGCCCGCTGTGGCAGCGGCGGAGGGGGGCTGGGGCGCCGCCAGCAGCGAGGGCAGAGCGGGGAGGCGAGCCTGGAGAGCTGCCGGTCCTGAACCGCTGCCCGCGGGGAGCCGGTACCCCGGCCTGCGCCGCCCCTGAGCCCCTGCCCGCGGGGAGCCGGTACCCCGGCCTGCGCCGCCCCAGGAACCGGGCCTCCCTACCGTGTGCTCTCTGGGCTGAACCCCGGCCTCGCTCCTGCCAGGGTGCCCTCCCTGCGCCGTGCTTTTGTGCTCGTGTTTCCCTCCTTGCAGATTTTAGGGTGCTAAATCACACAGCTCCTTTTGCCTGGCCACTCAAGGATTTTTTTATTATTTTTTTTTTTTCTTAAAAAAAAATTGCCAGTTATCGACAGCTCCGACAGGATGCGTTGTGAAGCACTTTTTAGTAAGTTCTTGCAAATCCGGGCGCCCCACCAGCAGCCATCGTGCAATGGTTTATATCCCTTTCTCCCGACCGCAAGTTCTCTCCCCCCATTCCTCACTGGCTGGGTACTACAGGGGGTACAGACTTCCCGAACTGCCTACCAACACGCCTCTTCATGTAGGTGTTCATACGTCGCATGTTCATGGAAATGGACCTTGGCTCTCTCCAGGGCGGAGAAGTTAATATGCATGAGCTCCACCACCAAGCTAATAAGATGAAAAGTTCGAAAGTTCCCAAAGCCTTTTGGTACCTCCATCCACCTAAAACCAGTTCCAAGTACTGGGTCATCATAGTTGACAAAGGGACCGCTTATCTTCTAGCCATAGGCTAGGAACTTAAATGGTTGTGAATTGCTCTCGTTAATCGCTCTGCTGAATCGCTCCCCTTATTCTTAACCACATTCTTTCCCTTACAAGTTCTTACTGCCAAACTATTTACACTTCACATGCAAGGGTCCTTTGACTTTGCTCCTTTTTCTTGCTCAGTTTAGATCAGACCCTTTGCTTTTGTCGAGATTTAAACCCAGCTGGCAATTAAGTACCATACAGCTGCTTGCTCACTCCCCCCACGCCCAGGGGATTGGGGAGAGAATCGAAGAAAAAAAAAAAAAACACAAAACAAAAACTCATGGGTTGAGATAAAGACAGTTTAATAAACCAGAAGAGGAAGGGAAAACAGTAACAACAATAATATACAAAAAGATTCCCTCCTAGTTTATATACTGGGCATGACGTCATACGGTATTCCTGTAGCTTGTTTGGGTCAGCTGTCCTTGCTGTGTCACCTCCCAGCTTCTTGTGCATTCCCAGCTTCTACTGGCCAGGCAGTATGAGAACCTGAAAAGTCTTTGACTCAGTATAAACACTACTTAGCAACAACTAAAACATCAGTGCGTTATCCTAAATCCAAAACACAGCACTATACCAGCTACTAGAAAGAAAATTAACTTTATTCCACCCAAACCCAGGAGTTTTCTACCTGCAAACAGAAATATTTGTGGCTTCAGCAGGATACTTACCCACCAACAGCTATAGCTGTGGCTGTCCTGGATGCTCTGCCACCACTGCCACTTCTGATTCCTTTAATTGCATGAGTCTTTTGCGACTGTAAGCAATAAATGGGACTGTACACCTTTTCCTGCTGTTTCATTTGCTCTGGGTCTAAGACTTAGAAAGTCTTACTCTGCCAGGTGTCTTTCTGTACCTTCAAGTGGAGGGGTGGGTTCCTCATTCTTAGGCAATGAGAAACTGTGACTGAGCGACCCATGGAAGATGCTTTCTGAAGGCTGCCGGTGGGCTGTCTTCAGACTGGTGCAAATGACACCCTGACATTTTCAGTAAATCAAAGGATTTCTGAATGTTGGAACTGATTCAATGATGAGTGCTGCTTTGCAAGAGTCTTGGTGAGCCTGAAGGCAGCCAAGAGCCAGGAAGAAGAAACTATCTTCCCAGGAGAAGAGGAAAAAAAAGGAAGAAAAAAGAAGAGAGGGTACATTTTTCTTTAGTGTGTCTTATCCCTACAGGCAGCAGTGATGACACCAGGTACATTCCCTACGGGACCTATTCTTGATGCTCAGACTGAAGAAGGGAGGCTGTGGGGACTTCTTTATAGTCCAGTGTTTCAGAGTCACTGTCCTGAACCAGTAGGCCAGGCTGGACTGGTATTCTAGGCTGGTGTCAGGGGCATACCCCACGACCCTGATACAAACGTTTATAAATCAAAACTGCTTCATCTTGACTTCTTCACTGCTCAGTCTCTGATGGCTTTTTAATTTCTGTCCATGCCTTATTTCAATGCCTACACTTCCCTTCTTCATGTCTTTGTGTAGTCTATTGTTTTTCCTAGGAGCAGCACTGTCTGTCTGTTCTTCAAAGTAATTCAGGTTTCTGCCCAAAAGCTTCCTCCCTCTGTCTCTTCTTTCAAGTGCTCTTGCTAACCCTTGATCATGCTGACCATATACAGGATTGGCATTTGATAATAGCGGATGAATCTTGTTTGTCATTCCAGGGGCTTCATTCTGGAAGGGTTGGGTTACTGCACTCACAGTCCTGCCATAACTACAATTTACAGGCAAGTAGGGAGCACTATCATAAGGCAGACAGCTGAAAGAGTGGAATGTATCATGCCAGCGTTACATAGAGTGTGCAGCTTCGGTCTCCATGTGTAAGAGTGGTTATGTAGTGGTTATGTAAATGTCTTTTCAAGTGTTGCCATCTTAATGCAACTGCCTGCCAGATGTAGGATGCTTCCACACCAATGCCTGAATGGATGTCTGAAGTGTGCTTTCTGAGTGAATCTTCCAGTAATCCCTGCTTGCTGGGATTTGCTTTGTACTGCAGAACAGTCTTTGGGTGCAAATTAGATTCCTTTCAGGTGGTGCTAAACCAGTAGGTGTGCCATACATAGGAGCACACCTCATGCATTTCAGCCACTAATTGGTGTGCAGTCCACAGGACCAGGGAAAACATAATCCAAATTAAAGCTTCCCAGACATGTTTGGTGTCGATGTTGGATTTCCAGCCCCTACTCTACCACTGTAAAGATTTGTTCCTGTTGAGCCATACTACTTGCTAGCACAGAACTGGCTCTAGATGTCATATGCATTTCAAAGCTGTAAGGAAAGCAGACTTACTGCCAAAGCATATTGTTTAAACCAGCACCAGATATCAGTTTTGGGGTAGATAAACTATATCTGGGAAGTCTGGAGAGGACTCCGCAGAGGATCATGTTCCTTTTGAAAAGGAGAAGATGGGATTTGATTCTGAAAGTGATTTATTTCTAGCACTCTGTCATGGTTTGAGCTCAGAGGGCAACTAAGCACCATGCAGCTGCTCACTTCCCTCTTTTCTCCCAGTGCTAGGAAGGAGAAATAAAGCAAAATCTGGAATTGTGATAAGGACAGGGAGGGATGACTCACCCATTACAGCCATGGGCAAAAGACAGGCTCGTTAGGGAAAGAAAAAAGAACATTAATTCACACACTAACAACAACATTTAAGAGACAGAGTAGGACAGAGAGAAGCATTACCACATCTTAAAAACGCCCTTCCCCCCAGCCCTCCCTTCTTACCAGGCTCAGCTTTGCCCCGGTATCTCCTCCTCTCAGCGGTTCAAGGGGCAGGGGATGGGGTCAGTCCTGCCGCTCCTTCTTCCTCAGTGGGAGGACACCTTGCATTTTTCCCCTGCTCCAGTGTGGTTCCTCTCTCACAGGACACAGTCCTCCACAAACTTTCTCTCACCTAAGTCCCTCCCATGGATTGCAGTGTTTCCCGTGCTGTTCCGGCGTGGGACACCCCTGCATGTCCTCCTAGCACCGAACTGCAACAGTGGGGGCTTCTTCTCCCCACAGAGTCCCGGCTTCCTTGAAGCACAGCCACCTCTCAGGTGTGGGCTCCTCCACAGGCTGAACTTTGGCATCTGCTCCCCTGGTGACCTCCATGTGTGGCAGAGCGGTGTCAGCCCCTTCCATCTCACCAGGGGATACAGGGAAGGGTCTCTGCTCCGGTGCACCTCCCCCCCTTCCTCCTCCTTTCTCCCACTGACCTTGGTATTCACATAGGTGTCTGCCTCACAACTCCCACTCCTCCTCCAGGTTCCCCTTAAATACGTTATCACAGAGGCGCAGCCACCATCATTAATTGACTCAGCCTCAGCTGGAGGTGGGTCTGTCTTGGAGCTGGGGGGACTTCAAGAGGCTTCTCACAGGGGGCCACTGCTGTAGCCCCTGCTACCACGAGCCCCTGCCACTCACACAAAGGCAGCACACACCCCAATGTCACAAGAGACCGTACACGTCAAGCAAACCTCTCTTTGTGCTTTTCCCATTCTTTTAGAGGCTATACACAAATGAGCTCTTATTTTCCAGATTGTTTGTTTTTCCTTTGGAATCACACACGTAGAAGGACAAAAACAGTGAAGAAGCTGATGTTTCTAAGGCTCGTCTGAAGCCATCGCATACTTTTCAGCTAAATGTAAGTACTCTTAACTTGTGACTGCCAGATGCAAATAATAAGATAGCAGTCCTTCCGCCAGATGAATGTGTGCTATGCACAAACACAAGAGCCTCCAGTTCTCTGCGTGCCTTTACAACCCTCTGCCTGGTGAACCACAGTCACTGCTAGTGCAAAAACCGTGTACCTGTGTCTGCAGTTCAGCTGAGATGAGGGGCGAACGGGACACCAATACCACGGCAGAACTGCTGCCGTAAACCCGCGCAATTTATTTACTGACCCTGCAACACAGTTTTAATGACAGAACATTATGCACGTTGGTGCAGTGTGTGCGTGCACCGTATACGCGTCACTTGGCTCCAGCAGCGGGCAGCAGGGACTGGCGAAGCCGTCCTCTCTGTCACGGGTGCTGGGCCCACGCGGGAGCGCCGGTCTCGGGAACCGGCGGGAGGGAGAAGGGGAGGGTGAGGCCGGCGGCCGGGCACCGACCGTGGCCACGGCGCCCGGCGGTGACCCGGAGAAGCGCCAGCGCCGTCCCCCTGGCTGCACCTGTAGCGGCGAAGCCGCCCGGGCGCAGTTCCACCCCGACCGGCTCCACCGCCTGCTACAGGCAGGCCCGGCGGCGGGAGCTGGCCCTTTAAGGCAGGCTGGTGCGGCACTCGCGGGGTGCCTGGTCCTTTAAGAGCTGGCCCCGCCCCCCCAGCCCATGAGCCCGACGAGTTCAGGCAGCCTCAGGTACGGTGCTGAGTGGGGGGGGAGTTTTGTTGAGTCGGCCTCTCCGCTCGCCCACCCGGGACGGGACGTGGTGGGGTGGGGGGGTCCTGCCGCCCGGGCGGCTGGCGGACGTGTCCGCGGGGCTCGTTGGGGAGGTCGCGGCCTTGCCGTCCTGACGAGCGGGTGTCGTCACCCGGGCCAGCTCGGCAGCGGGCGGGCGGGCGGGGGGAGGGAGCCAGCCAGCCAGCCAGCCAGCCGAGGTGGGTGTTGCTCCCGGCCCACGGGGTCCCGCTCCACGGGGCGGCCGGGGGTGTGGAGATACTTCCCGGTCTGTGACAGCTGCGCTCGGCCGAGCTGGGAGCCGGCGCCGTGGCGGGATGCCTCTAAGCCCGGCCCCAACTAGGATGGGCTCTGCCCCGAGCCCGGGGCCTCTCCACGGGCGGGCGGCGTCCCTCCGCAGGCTCTCCGGCCCGCGTGGGAGGTGGGGCCGAGGAGTGGAAGCTGGGTCGGGGCAGGGGGGGCTGGGCGCCCCCGGCAGCCGGTCCCTCTTGCCTGGCGTTCACCCGGTGTCTCTGATGCCCCGGGGCCAGGTGCAGGGCCGGCGGGGTTTGGCGCTGACCCTCCCTTCATCTCCCTGGCGCCATGGCCATGAGGGAGCTGGTGGAACCGGAGTGCGGGGGCTCCAACCCCCTAACGAAGCTGGCTGGCCACTTCACCCAGGACAAAGCCTTGCGACAGGAAGGACTTCAGGGCCCGCTGGCCTGGCCCCCGGGGGCTCCCGGAGCTGCAGCTGTGAGTGTTGCCGGTCGCTTTGCTGAGCTGGGGCTGGATGCAGGGCCTGGCTGCCACTGGGTCAGTCAACAGGAGAGAGGGGTGTGCTGGCTGAAGGGGGGTTGCGGGGTGAGCAGCGCAGGGGGACTGTTGGTACAGATAGGTGCAATGTTGCTTTTTTACTGGGGAAAGAGGCCACAGGGTCACCTGGTCTGTCCTGCAGGGTTGTGGGACAGTATCACTCAAGGTGTTCTTCCTCCTCTAGCTTCCTCATGAGCAGGCAGCTAATGTAAGAAAATGCTGACAGCCTACGCTCAAGGAAGAGGGAGATGTAAACTAGTTGGGTCATGGGGTGTGGGTGGAGAGGGGTGTGGGGTCAAAGCTGTTGGGTTGATTGCCCACTGTTTCCTGTAGGTATCCAAACCACTGGGAGCAGCCACTGAAGATGAGGTAAGAACAGACTGATGCATCTCCTTGCTGCTTTTTCTCACCTACACGGTTTAATATTTTTTCCCCTTAATCTTTCCTTCTGACAAGTCCATTTATTTCTTTCATGCTCTATGGTTCTGCCTGTTCGTATTCTACGCTATATTTGTAATCCATCTCTATCTCTGGCAGCTTGTTGGAGAGTTCCTGCAGGAGCAGAATGCTCCTTTACTGTCCCGTGCACCGCAGACCTTTAAGATGGATGACTTGTTGGCTGAGATGCAAGAGATTGACCAGTCAAGCTTCCGGCAGGCTCCTCAGCGAGGTGAGGGGAGCTAGAGTAGGTGGAGAGCTGGAAATGATCTTGGTGTTACAGTTAAGCTTCTATGAGGGTGGTTACCAAGTATTCAGCACTTGTGAGATTGTATCTGGAGTGCTGTTTCCAGATTTGGGCTTCCCAGTACACTGACATACTAGAACAAGTCCAGTGGAGATCAGTAAGGTGTTCAGGAGCTGAAATGCATGGTGTAAGAGGAAGGGCTGAGGGAACTGGGTTTGTTCAGCCTGGGAAAAGGGGTTGAGTGGAGTGTCTAGTTGCTGTCTTCAGCAGCCATGGCCAGGATATTCCCAGTAATACACAGCAATAGTGCAAGGGGCAACGAACACAACTTGCAAAAGGTGAACTGACTAGATGTCAGGAAACACTTCTTCCCTTAGAGAGAGGTTCAGTACTGGATCAGGTGCCTAGAGTGACTGGGGAATTGCCAGCCTTGCACAAGTTCAGAAGTTACCTGATGCAACCTAATCTCTAGCTTTAGTGTTAACCTGCTGTGAGAACACCAGCAAACTCCAGAGATTCCTTCCAAGTGAAATCTTTCTGTGATTTTATTCTAACAAAGGGAAAGATCAGAAGTGATGAGGGCTAGCCTGGAACAGTTAAGTGATGCCTCCAACCCTGTTTTTTTTCCTCTTGTAGCTCCAGGTGTGGCAGCCCTGGCACTGTCTGAAAACTGGACCCAGGAATTTTTGGCTGCAGTAGATAGTGCTGGTGATGTCTCTTCAGATTACAATGAGGCTGACTGGTCACAGGAGTTCATTGCTGAAGTGACAGGTGAAGGGTCCCTTTTGGAATTATTGTCAACATGTTGCCTGGGCACACGCCTGTGTATAGTGGAGGGTTACTGAATGTGAAATTGGAGTACTGCTTTGGGCCCAGCAGTCAGTGTTTGCTGTAGTGGCTTTGGGGCAGGGGGGGTGGGTGGAAGGGGGGAAGCTGCTTTGCAATGGCTTACCCAAATTTTTCACAGTGTGGTGTGCAAACTGGTAAGGTGTAAGGATCTTTTATTTTAGTTTAGGTTACTTGGAGAACTTAGAAGCAGACTATTCAAACTGCTTTTGTTAACATTATTAGGATTCAACTGACACGAATTCTGGAAGTGCTCTGGTACTGCTTCTTGCTTACATATTCTCTAATTCCCTCTCTTAAGGCTCAATTTGTCTTTGGTACAAATATTGTTTGGTGTGCTTTGGCTAAATACTTTTTGTCAGTTTCATGGAGGTAGAGGGATGTTGCACCTTGGAAATATGCAAAGTAAATGTTTCTGGCCCAAAGGTTAAGCTTTCCATTTCAAGCAAGCCAGTAGTTTATCTGAAAAGTCATCCTGTGTTGTGTATAGAGCTGGGGCTGGAATAGGGTCCTGTTACCATGCATGATCTAATCTGGAAGTTATGAGTAAGTTTTAATGCTATTTTCACCAGGAGTGGCCACTGTAGAGAGCCAGGTAGTCCCATTCTTTGACCTTCACTCCTTATACTTCTGGGAATACAAATTGGCATTTACAAAGGTCTTTGAGAAAGTTCTGATGAAAACCTAGTGCTTTGTAGGCTGTGCTTTTGACAGAGACTTGTAATGCATTGCTAATTTTCTTGGCCTACACAGTATCCCACATGGAGCAGATGAATAAATTGTGAAAGTAAAGTAGAAAATAATAAAGGTTATTGGCACCACAGTGGCATCTGTATTAATACACAGTCTGAACCGAAGGCTTGGTTTTTAGATCGGAATGAACAAAGAAGAAACAAGTGTAAACAATCTTTCTTTGAAGAAGTCTTCTCTGTATGTTAGCTAACTGTGTATGAAGTGGAGAGAGCAAAATCTGAAGTTAATCTGAGTGGTGGTCTGCTTATCTTACTTTTCTTCCCATTCTTCCTGATGTCCTATGCAGATCCGTTGTCTGTGTCTCCTGTCAAGTGGGCAGAAGAGTACCTAGAGCAGTCAGAGGAGAAACTGTGGCTTGGGGAATCAGAAGACCAGTCTTTGGCAGATAAATGGTGAGTCTGTCTTTTCAAGACTAGTTACTGCTGCTAGGCAGTTGGGTAGGTGAAATTTGGAAAGATGATGTGACCTGAATACTTTTGAGTCATTTAACCTAGACTGATGTTCTCAGGCCTTTGGTTTGAGAAAGGAGGAATCGGTGCTTGGAGACTGAAGTTTTTAAGAGATCCTAGCTTTCCTGTTTTCTAGTTCCAGGAAGATATTGTGATCATGTAGGCTAACTTAATCTCATGCCTAATGCAAAGCTCCTTAAAGTGATTTCAGGAACTCCTAATTAAGCAGATTTTTTTTTTTTCACACAAGAGATGTTTTTTAGATTTAGAGATCTCAAGTACTAGACTCAACTACTTGCAAAATTTCATCACTGTTCTCCCTGTCTGACAAACCACATCCAGCCTTTCCTCTGCATATTTCTAGATTCAGCCTTCCAGGCGTTATTTTCATGTGTTTTTGTGTGGTAGATTAAAGAACAGCCTACTATCATGGATCTTCTCTGTATGGGTACCTGTTGACTACAGTCAGGTTTTTCAATTAAAGAAGCAAAACACAAGCAATCAATTTGGGCTTATATTTTTCCCTGAAAGATTTTTCATATTTAGATTCTCCTTCCTCCTGGCTCTTGCTTTTTCGGATACCTTTCTGTAAATATAGATCTTTCTGAGTTACTGCTGTCAGTTCACTACGTTCAGTCTTCTTGAAGTCTTTGGGTCCTATCTTGCTGTAAGCCATGCAACCTGTTGAGTTGTTTGCTTCCTGTGAGCCCTTAATCCTCTGTGGAGTTGATGCTTTCCCAAGACACTGTTTTTCTTCCATGAGCACGACCTACTTTCTTTGTTCATTGATACATGACCTTGGTTTTGGTAGTGCCAAAACTTGCAGTGTCTGATAGCACGTGAGCTTGCCAAGGAATCCAGACTGTTCTGCAGAACTGTGCTGTCACTGTAATTGTTTATTCTGCTACTATTTGTGTCAGTCACTTGCACAGTTAACCCAGTAGTAATTTTGAATTTTTACAAATGGATAAAGGTACTCAGTCACTTAGGAGAATCCCAGACTTCTTTGAGGAGGGATTGTATCTGGCCCATTGTGTAGACTGTTGTTAGTGAAAGAATTCTGTTGCCTGGTATCAGACTATCTCTTTCCCTTTTACTGCCTCTGAACACAGGTATGAGGAATATCAACCTGAGGATGATCTTAAGAAAACTGTTAGTGATTTCCTCTCTAAAGTGGATGATCCAAAACTCAAGAATTCTGAGGTAAGAAATTCCCTGACTGTGGCTGACAGATCTCTAGCATGAATAAAGTGTGTGAGGATTTGAAAGGGGGGAAGACAGTAAAGGAATAAAGCTTCCTACTGTCCTGTGTTTCCATTTCTTCCCTGATTCCTAGAAGTTGAACCCTACAATCCACTCCAGATACTATCCATCTCTACTACATAACTCTGAAGTCCTGTCCTCTCCACCTTTTTGGGCCTTTTGTGCTCACTTTGCAGAGAGAAGCCCTCTCATTGAAGGAGGGGGGCACGGGCAGAGGGCTTGTTGGCAAAGCATCTGCTCGGTTCCATCCTTGTTTCATTTCTCTGCCACAGTTCCTAAAGTTTGTCTGCCAGATCGGAGATGGGAGGGTATCGATCGAAGCTAATCAGGTGACCCACAGAGACCAAGATCAGGCAGAGCAGTGGGCAGCTGAGTTTATACAGCAGCAGGTAGGAGCCCCAGCCCTATGTGCTCTGAAGGAAGAAAGCTTTTTGCCACAGTGCACTCTCTGAGAGTGAGGGACAATGGCAAATCCAACTCTCAGCAATGCTCTACTAATTAATGACTTAGGCTGAGGGAGGCGAGGGAGGGGCTGTTGGGCTCTACTTAGCAGTCTAGCCAGAAGTTGGGAAAGTGTTTGGACAGTGTGAGTTTTCTCATCTTCCGTAGCACCTGGGAGGAAGGGGGATATCCCAATGAACTCTTCCCCACTTTACAGGCCATCAGTTCTTGCTGATGGGGGGGGAGGGGTCATCACAGACCCTCCTGCTGTTTTGGGGTGTGCCCTGAGGTTGCCGAATTCTAAAAAGAAAGGTGTGTTTCTGTTTCCAAACTCCCAGGGGCCATCCGATGCCTGGGTGGATCAATTTGCGCGATCTGGGAACATGTCAACTCTTGATACGGAATTTGAGCAGGCAAAGACTGCTGTGGAGGTAAAACTCGTGGAGGAGGAGGGCTGGGATACCAACTGAGAACCCATGGTAGGGTTACCTCTCTCTTTTTGCATGCTGTGAGGAGGGCTAGAAACATTTAAGAGGGTGTTCTCTGAGGTGTCTGTAGAGCTCAGTTTGTGTTTGTGGTGCTCTAGTCACATTCTGTTCTCCCTTCAGTCAGATGTGGATTTTTGGGACAAACTCCAGGCAGAATGGGAGGAGATGGCCAAGAGAGATGCAGAGGCTCACCCTTGGCTCTCTGATTATGAAGACCTCAGCTCCTCATCATATGACAAGGTAATAGAGACCAGGGTGTCTCAGCACTATGATGGACTGCCTTGAGGAGACTGGCATTATGTCTGCCTTGCAGTTGAGCTCCACAGACCTCAAATGCTGCTAGGATTCCTTCTTGGACTGATCTGTTGCTATTGCTTGCACCCTCATTCCAGATCAACTAGATATTAAACAAATACTGTTTTTACATGTTTGTCTGCAAATGCTGTCTAGCTCTTGTTCAACACCAAATACCAATTAATGTTGGGATTCTTAGCAATGAGTCCAAGTGTTATCATGTGGCCCCACCCCCCTCTCCAAGCTGATAGGACCCACACCAGATGTTTAGTTTCTCTTGCAACTTACTCCAGGTCTGGTTTGGGGGAATTTTTCAGCGCAGGGCAGGCAGGAAGAAGAGCCATTGTTCCCTGATCTGCTGCATATTAGCAGAGGACAAGGTGCTTGCTGGTCTGCAGTTTGAGTGTTTCTGATGCAGCAAGACTAGACAGTGCTGTACTGTAGAGAGTGCTTTCCTTCCTAAGCCCGTCTCGTAGCGTTATCCCCTGTCTGTCTTCCCTGCTAGGGTTACCAGTTTGAAGAAGATAATCCCATGAGAGATCACCCAGATGCATTTGAAGAGGGACAGAAGCGCTTGGAGGAAGGTGACCTTCCCAATGCTGTCTTGCTCTTTGAGGCTGCGGTGCAACAGAAGCCAGATCACATGGAGGTGAGTGAGAGCAGAGATAATAGCCCTTGGTCAGCTGTCTGGCTGCTTGGATCCTTCCCTTGTGAGGTGTCAGGGTTTGTGTAGAAAACTCACTTCAGTGTTAGAAGCTGTGCAGGGTGTATGAAAACATGTTGTTTTTTCTGTGGCTCTGAATATGTAGTTGATGAATCCCCAGGAGGGCTGTGAACAAGGAGTTTTATGACTAAGATCAGTTACAAGAAACACAAAGGCTCTCACCTAGAGCTGTGTGAAATCTTTGGAGCACATGGAGCCAAGACAAGGAGTTCTTATCTCTTGCTTCTGTGGAAGTCTTTATTGGCATTGCAAGTTTTGGAATGCTTATGACAGATGATCACTTCTTTCACTATCTGTATTAAAGACTAATTCTGAGCAGCTTGTTAGACTAGGAGTCCTGGTTAGGTCTTCCATCTAGATGACAGGAAAAGATGTAACCCAGAGGGTTGAGAGAGATGGCTTGGGTGTCTTAGTCTTCATTTGAAGCTGTTGGCCAGAGAATGATTTTATACTAAAGACAAATTTCCAGCACCTAGTTCAGTGAATATTTATTTCCATAAAGCGCTTCAGCTTCTGCAGGTTTAATTGAGAAATGGAGTAGCCTGTGCACCTTTCTCCAGAGGTAGAGGACATGGTTATTCTCAGGAGGAAGAAAGCAAATACACCCATGTTGTCAGTTTCTGGAGTGCCTGCCTCAAGGACCAAGGGATGCTGAATTCTCAATGTGTCTGATTCAAGCCCTGCTAATTATATATGATTGGAAATACCTAATTTTTGTTAATCCTGAGCCTTGGATGAGTGATCTCTCAAAGCAGAAGTTCTTGGCTTCTGAGAATACAGGCATCTAACTTTCTAAGGTATTGGGAGTAGGTGAAAAGCAAGCAGAGGTTTTGGAGATATACTTTAGCTTTAAAGTGGTCAAAAGGTGTAGGTAATACTCCTTTAGAATTGGCACCCTTCTCGTAGGCAGTGCGGGCTGCAGGCTGAGCATAATGGAGAGGTAGTTGAAACCTTAGGGGAGGAAATCTTGGTCCAGTTCTGATTAGCTGTGTTGAAAACGTTGAGTTCTTCTGCTGTCACTACAGAAAGTACAGGAGAAGTCAAGACTTCACAAATGGTACAGTGATCAAATAGACTTGAGCAATTGCACTGAAAAGTGTCATGGTTGCTCTGGTCCAAAGATTTACCTTGAATCTCAACTCTTCTGCCTGCAGAACACTATGCAGTTATCACTGGTCAGCTATTCTGAGTTGCAGCTACCTATATGGTGAGGTGTTAGAGATTTGAGATGGTAGATTGCCTCTTGTTTTTGGTGGCTTGTTCAGTGTGTCTGGGTCTTTGCTAATGTAACAATTTCCTTCCCTGAGACAGTGGATACTGCATTTTATGACTTACGTTCAAGAAGCAGGCACTTCATGCTGACAATCCCACCAAATATCTAACCTATTTATGAGCAAAAAGCGTGGTTATCAACATAAAGTGAAAAGGTACTTTAGATTTAGTCCCTTAATTAATTAAATATTCCCTATGTCAGCAGCTTGGAGATGGAAGTGATTTTAATATACTGGTGTCATGATGATTGAAAATTCAGTAAAATAGCAGTGCTTCTACTTTTAGGTCTGAAGGTCAACTCGCCAAGATTATCACTTGCTAGTGGATCACTGCACAAGTATATACAACTGCCTACCTTGGGGGTGTCATTATTAGCACTGCTGCTATGCCATTTTGTTTTTAAGAAAGAACTTTTAGGCCTTTTCTCTCCTTCCTCTGCAATTTGACCACAGTTAGAAGTTAAAAGTGAAGATTCTGTGACTTAGAAGCATAGAACTGCCAACAGTTGCTTTATGATAGATCTCCAGGTAGACATTCACCACTTCTTTTCACTATAACAATGCCAGTTTTATTGGTCTTGAGGATCTATGTGCCATAAAGTCTATATGTCTTTTGAGAGAAACTTCTATCTGTGGCTAATGTGTATACTTGCATATATTTGGTCTCACTCTAAAAATATGTGGCATAATATGGTGGATTTAATCTCTGGGTCTGTGGTCTATCAGCTGATCTTTTTCTCTGGATGTGAAGAAGTCTGACTTTGTGCCTCTTTATCATATTCTCCAGGCCTGGCAATATCTGGGAACCACCCAAGCAGAGAATGAACAGGAGCTTTTGGCAATCAGTGCCCTCAGACAGTGAGTGTTGCAGAAGAGCTTCTGAACGTGGCTCCTTGTCTAGCGCATGGTGTCACAAGGACCATACGGCTGGCATGGTGTGCTCTGTCTTGATTGTGTTACCTCCTGTATCTGGGTGTTTCCCAGACTGATTTAATACTGTATTCACTTTTCTTTCTTTGACCTGCAGGTGCTTGGAACTGCAGCCTGGGAACCTCACAGCACTTATGGCTTTAGCGGTCAGCTTCACTAATGAGTCTTTGCAGAAGCAGGCATGCGAGACCCTGCGGGACTGGCTGCACCATAAACCAGACTATGCCCACCTGCTGGAGAAGGAACCAGAAGAGAGTGTCTCGGGGACAAACCTGGGGCTTTCCAAGCATGTCCTCGGTTCCCTGCTGTCCGAGTGAGTTAGGGTTACAAATTTCAGCCTTCAGCTGAAAGGTATCTTTTAGGGTTGGGGCTGGTCCAGGCAGGAGCAGAGGGAGCACTGCAAGGCCAGCTCTCTCCACAGTACACCAAGATCCTTTTTCTGTGCTTTTCCAGCTCGCTGTTCTTGGAGGTGAAAGAACTGTTCTTAGCAGCTGTGCGCAGCAACCCCTCCACTGTGGATCCTGATGTTCAGTGTGGCCTGGGTGTCCTTTTCAACCTTAGTGGTGAATATGAGAAGGCTGTGGATTGCTTCAGTTCCGCACTCAGCGTGCGCCCCAATGTAAGGAAGGGCAGACTGTGGATGCTGGAGGTACCTGGAGGTTTACGGGTAAAGGTTTGGGTGGAGGTGCCGCTTGTATGAGAGGTACATTTTTGGACCGGAGGAGCAAAACGGACGTGGGGAAGGGAGGTTTAGCTTGGAGCTTAAAAAGATCCAGTTTCTCAAGCCTTTCTCTCTGTCCCCTGCTCCAGGACCATCTTCTGTGGAACAAGCTTGGTGCCACCCTGGCCAATGGGAACCGGAGTGAGGAAGCTGTGGCTGCATATCGCCGGGCACTGGAGCTCCAGCCAGGATACATCCGCTCTCGCTACAACTTGGGCATCAGTTGCATCAACTTAGGTGCCCACCGGTGAGCATAAGATGGGCAGATCTGCTGCGACCCATGAGCGTGCATTTGTTCGTGGGAGAGACTGTGATAGGACACGAGGGCAGTGCTGCACTGCTTGCAGCCTTCCCTTGGCATAGAAGAGCAGAGCAAGCGTGTGGACTCTGCACTGAGAACAGTGTCATGCAGATGCAGTTGGAGTGGGGGCCATCTGGACTTCAGTTTCTGTTAAGAGGGAAAAGGGGTGGGGAATCTCTGATGTTTCTGGAGTGGGGCAGGGTCTGGTGAAGAGGCGGAAACTGTTTTGGAGGGGAAGTACTTTAGAAGCATGTGGGGGAGGGAGCATGAGATGTGCCATCTTCGACAGTAAGCATGTGTATGTTCTCGTCTTGACAGTGAGGCTGTGGAGCACTTCTTAGAGGCTTTGCACATGCAGCAGAAGAGCCGAGGTCCACGGGGGCAGCAAGGCGCTATGTCTGACAACATCTGGAGCACCCTCCGCATGGCCCTCTCCATGCTGGGGCAGAGTGACCTGTACGGGGCAGCTGATGCCCGTGATCTTCCCACACTGCTTAAGGCATTTGGCCTCCAGCAGTGACTCTGGGATGGGCTCTCCTGTGAGTGCAGGGTTAGCCCATGCCAGCGGTGAGCTTCCTTAGAGAGAAAATGTTCACTAGGATTCACACATCTCTTTGCTCGGGTAGGGCAGATCATTTGCAACAGTTTGTTGGTTTTTTTTTTTTTTTTTTTTCAAGGACCTCCTGCTGAAGCATGCAACTTCCCCCTACCTGTCTGTTGTGGCCTGAGCATCTCTGAGTGGTTCATGTTATCGCCTCCATGACTAGCTGACACTCTGCTGGTAGGCAGATGATCAAAGTGGGGTAGACAGCAACATCCAGTCCTCTTGCCAGACTGCATTTGCAGTAATTCCCAGCTTGGCTACGAGACCTTACAGTAGTCATTCTGCAGAGACTACCTGTTGGATGCGTCTTGAATGCAGGTTGCTTTGGTGGGGTAAGATTGCCATTTGGTGAAAGGAAGAAAAATTCTGGGTTTGGAGCATGCTTCACCCATGTATGTGCTTGCATGTGTGTATATGTGGGTTGCTGGAGAAAACTAAGGTCAGCAGTCCCCTTTTCTGGGTACTGGTAACTTCGTGGTACAGCCAGATGCTAGTTTCTCAGTGCCTCTTCATGGTGAACCTTTCAAGAGCAGAATATTGTACTTGTGCTAATGACACAGGTGGAGGCCCTTACCCTTTCAGGGTAAGAGGACGTCCCGGAGTTCAGACTTGAGGGAATGTGTTAGGAATAAAAGTCTAAAATGTAACCTCCCCTCCCACAATATGATGGGGGGAAAAGAGTCATCTTAATTTTCACTTGATCATCTGTCATTGTTTTCCTTTGTGCAAAAGTTCTCCATCTTGTATGTAACTGAATCTTGTTAATTATAAATATCTATATATGATTCTATTGGGGAAAATGTTTTTTAATTGTAAAGTATTTTGTATAATAAAAGGGGGAGAATTAAAATTGCCAAAATGACATCTTTCTCTGTGCTTCTGTTGGAGCTGCATGCAGTGGCTAATATAAATCTTTGGGGATATAAGCCTACTGGTTTTCAAAAGATAGATCAGAGTCTCTCGCAGTTTGTCTCCCCTTTTGATCCAGGTTTTGTTTTATTGATAGCTTATATGCGAATGAAGCTTAAAGGACCTAATTTTGCTGTAGCCTCAGGCTTCAGTTCTGTGAGCTGGCAGAAGAGCTTTTCTGTTCCCAAAGTTCTCTTTTTTTTTTTTTTTTTTTTTTTTTTTTTTTTTTTTTTTTTGTTCCTTGCCTAGGTTTAAGGGTCAGTGAAACACTTTTTTTAATTTTCTTTCATTCCATCTGCAGTGAGGGAACTTGACTGCTGCAGTAGTCAAGACCAGGGGCTTAAGCAGGGAGCACTTATCCTTTCTCTTCTACCAGGCACATGTTTCTTCATACCTCTACCTCATAGGCTTGCTTTCCTGTTGCTTCTGTAACCATAAGGAGCAGAAAGTGTTTGCAGAGAGTAGTTCTTGCTGTATGTTTTCTGAGCTCTAGCTTCCCCCGTGTCTTCCATCCAGCCTTGTGGCACTGAAACATATGTGCACTGTTTTGAAACTGCTGTAATGCATGCAAAACAAATTGCTGCCTGTGCTGTCTAAAAGGGAGGGGAACACTGCTTCTGTTAGTGCTACATTAGTGCCTATGCTGTTCCTCATCTGCTTTCCAGGTGTTCCTTCCCCAGTTCTCTGCTGTTTCTCTCACCACCAAGTTGCTTTACCTCTTTACTGCACCACTTTCCTCTCTGTTCACACTCCCATTGTCACTGCTTGGCCTTCCATTTTCCCCAGCCTTGGGTGTCATTAATGCTTCCCCTCTCCTTGTCTGCCTAGTTGTCTCAATTTGCCTTGCTCTTTGCCTTAATATTTTGACTTTGTGCTTGGTGTCCTTCCCTATCACATATCCCCTCCTGTCCCTGCAGCTAGAGTGGGCTGTTACCATTTGTTCACTTTCCCTGTAAGTCGTTCTGACTTTCTTCCTTCCCTCCCACCTCAAATCATCTCAAAGCATCTGTGTTACCTTTGCTGAGGCTAGATCTTCACCTAGACACTAGTCTCTATTTAGTCTTCCAGGACTGAGTGGCGATTGAGCTGCCTCTCTCCAAACTATGTCTAACCTTGTCTTGTCTTTGGAAATGGAGCACTGATGCAGGGAACAGCAGCTGGCTGATGGTATCTGCATTCTGGTGCTGGTTCACACATTTGGCCTGCCCTCTGCAACCTTGTCTCTAGCCAACTCTGAACTAGGCTTGCACTGGGGTTTTAAGTATCTTGATCCTTGTTTGCGTTTCCAGCCACATCCACATCTTCTGTTGCTGAGCCTTGTTGTACAGTAGGGGTGGGTAGCAGGTTCTGGGCATTTCACAGAAAGAGAAGGCAGTGAGGCATATTTGGAGGTCCCTCATCTAAGTCCCTGCTCACAACAGGCCTGGCTTGAATGCTAGATCAGGTAACTGAGGGCCTTATAAAGGTTTGTGCTCTGAAGTTTTTGTACTTTCTGTACTTGTACTTTCCCCAGTGTACAGAACAGTGGCAGGGCCTGTTGCCACTAAAAGCACGTGAGGGATCCAAGCAGGCCCTTCTTTGTTCTTTACCGAATCCACGGGCATCACAGGATACAAACTAGATCTTTCACAGGACACTGGGCAGGGGTTCAAAGGGAATAGTTCAGTATGTGTTCTTTCACCCATGCTTCTTGCTATGTTTTTGCTGTATTTCCTCCTTCAGTGCTTTATTTGTTTCCTTCTTAAGATCCCAAGAAGGCTTAGAATCTCTTGTCTCTTGGTGTTTGCCTTATTCCGTACCCAGCTGGGTGGGAGGTAGCAGCAAATGAAAATTTGTGCTTTGGGATCCCTTACACCTCTAGCACAGTGCTTCTCAGTAGCCTCTATACTTGTCAGGAAGGTGGGTGTGCTGCCATTGTATACTCTGCTTTACCACTGCAGTTTCCTCATCTTGAGCTGCTGAGCCTCATTATGATCCTGGTTTTCCTTGAGTTACAACCCCCCAATCTCTTATTTTGAGTCCCAGGTTCCTACCCCTTTTGCCTGTGTGTGCTGATGTCTTTCCAGTCTGGGTGGGACTCAGACCAATCCTTCTCTAGAGAAATGCTCAAAGGGTGGTGACCTGAAGTGGGTGGTCACGGAAAGAGTGTCAGGGTAAGCATATAGTGGGCAATCTCATGTTCTCTAGGAATCGGCTGCTTTAAAGACTGCCTGACCCAGAAGTTGCATCAGTGCATTTAATAACCTTTGGTGAATCTATTCTCTGCCTGTGTCTTGTTGATTTTTAAGCCAGGTGGTTCTTTTGGTCTCTACAATATCTTATGGATGCACGAAGAACTGTGTTTAGATCTCCAAAGTATTTTGTTTTAAGCCTGCTACCTCTTCCTTTGTGGTCTCCTACTTATGGTACTGTAAGACACAGAAAATAATAGGGTTCTAGTACAGTCCACATCTCCCCAGGGTGAGCCCTTTTCCTACCTCTGTAACCCATGCTTCTGTATATTTCCTACTTTTACTGTATTATTGCCAGGAATTCTTTCATGCCCTAGCCTGCCTTGGGACCCTGACCACAAATACCATGCCTCTTTATCCACCTCTGATCCTCAAAAATCTTTTGGCAGGGAAGTGCTGCTGAGGAAGGACTGAAAGCAGCGCAGCAGCTTTCCCACCTGCAGCAGTAAAGCAGCAACAGAGGCAGGCCAGCAAGTCAGAGCAGAGCCTGGAAGCTTCTCCATATGGTAGTCCCTTGCTGACATAGACAGGTGTTTCCTTGCTTCCACAAGAGATGATAAGAGAAACCTTCTGCAGTTCACTGTTACGCTTAGTCTGGTACTTTCTGATGCTTCTGGGTGCCTGATCTGAGGCATGAAACTTTAAAACTCAACTGTCTGTGACTTTAGGAAGGATTGTAGGTACAGAGATCCCCTGAAAATGTGATGCCAGATGGGTAAGTTTTTTTGGAAAGTTTCATTTTCTCTGTTACATTTCTTAGGCAGAAGTGACACCTAGTGTTGAGTCAAGGTCACGTTAGTGTCACACTTGCTTGGACCAGGCCACTAAAGGGTTTAGGAGCACCACCTGCTAATAAAACGAGTGGAACAAAATGCTGGATGCATTTTCTGAACGTGTGACTTTTGTGAGCTGGAGAGGCTTTTCCAGACAGATGTGGTGCTGTGAAGCTAGGACATTTTGAAGGCCCACAATGTGTTTTCTTTTTTTGTTTTGTTTTGTTTTGTTTTGTTTTTTTTTTCCTAGTACCAAGCATCTGATTAGTCTGGGCCTTTGTGTTTGTGAGTCCAGTTTAGCAACCATGCCATGGAAACCCATTTGCACATTTAATAAACACAGGGACAAAAAGCAGCGCAGTTGGGCTTATGACATTTTGAACTAAACCAGTTATTTACAGACAGTCTGTTGCCTTTTCCCTTATCTGGGAAGGGACACTTTGGGAAGGAAATAATGGGTAGAAAAGCTCTTCCCTTTCTTTTCTGGCTTCTGTGTCTAGTCAAGGGGGACTTATAAGGATTTTCTTAGTCTGTATGTGCTGTGCTTCTTTCCAGTGCATCTTTTGTGGAGCTCGCTGCCAGTGCTGTGAGTGGATATGCAGAACTCATCCAATAGGGTGCTACTGTCCCTCTTAGTCTTTGCTGAAAAAGTAGTGTTGTTCAGTCCAATTTATTGAGCACTGACAATTGGGGAGTGCGGCAAACAGAGAGAAAAGAATGGAAGGAAAGTTTGTGCGAGATACATGCTAGGCAAAAAAGGAGGCAACTATTTTCCCTCAAGGGCTTGGCAGTAAATGTTCTTCATGGCTTGGAGTTCTGTGGTCCAGCTGCATGTTCTATATTGCATTTTCAGAAACAGTTTTGTTTGAGAAACAGGTCTTAAGGCCAAAAGTGAGAAAGAGACTCAATCTTTGTGATGAAGAATTACTTCACCAGCACTAACAACCATTAGGAGAGTAAAAACCAAAAAAACACCTCCTCCCAAAACAAAGAAACCAGTGTCCTGCTGCATTGAGTCCACAACTACCAGACAAAATAGTAGTCAAACTGGGGAGATGTGTAGTTTTATTATTATTTTTTAGATGTGTAATTTTATTATTATTTTTTAACCCCCTTATTTTAAAGTAAGGAATAAAGGGATGATTGAGATACAAACTAAGGTATCCACTGTGGTGATGAAGGGTGGGAACACAAGAGGATCTGGAGGGGGAAGGAATTTGTTGTTAATTTGATTTTTACCATTTTACCTTTGCCAGCACTGTGAAGTGAGTGCATATGTGACATCCACAGCTTCAAGTGAATTTGTTTTATCACCCTGCAAGCTAGTGGAAAATAGGCTCCAGCAGTGCAATGATGATGAAGCCAACCAAAGAGGAAATAAAATGAAATACATACATAAGAGTCTCGATGTATTTGGAAATGATTCTACAGGAGAACAAAAAAATAAGATCACTATTAAGCCTTGTCAGAAAAAGAGAAAACCACTTTTATGAAAAAGATAATATTTTAGTAATTTTTGTTCCAACTCAGAATAAGTCTTCATCTGTTCATGTATTTTTTGCATAATGTAGTTCTGCATGTTTTCAAAGACTTGCATATTCATCATTCATCTTGCTCGTTCTTTTGCTTTTTGTCTGCTGAGGCCAATAGAGGAGGAGGGCTTATTGGTTTCCTCTGAGTTTTCTTCTTTTCACTTTTGTCATATATTTTCTTTTTGCAGTTTTTGAGATACTGCAACCTCTTGGGGGGGAAGTTTGGGGAACGTAATTTCCCATTAGAAAAGAAAAAAACCAAACCAGCTGAAAATATTTCTAATCTCAAACTCCTAGCCCCACCCTGTGCTATTTGGCTTTGTTCAGTGGCTTATCACTTTGTGCATGAATCACTGTATAAATGTGATAAGAAACATTGAAATCTATTTAGTTTTCAATCCCAGTAACACTAGGAAAGA